GCGCCCCATTTCTTGCTTTCAGCTCACCTTCCAGAGCCTCAGCACTCAGCTCTGTGTGTGAGTGCTCACGTTTTGGGGTCACAGCTGGATGTGGGCAAGTTCAGACCCACACCTAACTGAATTTCATCCTAACCATGGATCTCTCCCAGCCAGGCTGCTTTCCCTCTATGCACGGAGTAATTCAGTGCTAAGCCATGAGCTCGATTTTGCAGAGATTAGATTTTCAGTTATAACACTGACTAGAATTCAATATCCATCGCTCCCTCCAGGGTACCAAATAATCTTCGGCATTTGCAAAGCTGAACTTTCTAAAGCAAGTGTACCTTTAAAATTAGTCCGATGCGACTCAAATTCAGATATTGACACCTTTGGGGTTAATATTCTCAAAGACATTCCATGCAACAAACCACACACTTTCTTCTTTCTTGAAAGCTGAAATCAGCTCAGACATAAACGCAAACTACTGCAACAAACCAACGATAAAATCAAAAGCAAACTTCAGCCAAGCCACGAATCAAGCTGAAATGAAAAGAAATCACTTTCATGGTGAACAAGATCGACCACAAAGGGGTTTGGCGCAGTTTAACTGTTGCACTCTAAGTATGCATCATTACTTTAATATGAATTTAATTCTATCTGTCCAATACAAACAAGCACACGGTTCTTTACATCCCTTTGTCTGGTCAGGTTGAGCCCTCCTGAGCCATCATAGTGAACACACGACGCGAGCTGCACTCAGGCCTGGATCTCCAAGCGCTCAGAGGCGTGCAGCCCTTGCCTGTTAGCAGCAAAGAGCCCCTCCAGCTGCAGGAGGCTCCCACACATACCTGCAGGACTGAAATGAAAGCCTCGAGCCATCCAGCATCACAACACCTTCTCCCATCTGCACTACTTTTGTCCAAAAGTTTCGTCCGCAGCCTCCAACGCTGACGCACCAGGATGGACCTGTATGTGTGCATCTCACTCCTGATGCTTAATGGTCTTGAGCACAGCGATCCACACCGCTCTGGAAAGAAATCAATTCTCCCTTTGCTCTGAGGGATAAATGCCATGTATTCCATAATCAGCCTGAGAGAACACACATAGGGGATTGGTACATCTGGGAAGCATATGAGAAGCCTTTTCATATATATATATATATAAAATTATTTTGTGAAGCACCTCTCTCAAACCCACCTTTAGGTATTTTTCCTTCATTTGCACGCTGGAAAAGTTGACTGATGTTTTCAGTTTATAAGATATTAAATAATAACCACTCGATTGCATTACTTGAATGCTTTTCATGCCTAGAATCTCCCACTACACCTTATCCATCTTATCTGCAGTGTTTCTTTGACATCCTCATACCCTGTTCCTGCCATTAGCCTTGGGATTCAGTTCTCCCAACACAGACGTGAGGTCGCCTCGGGGGTTCTACTGAGCACACAAATACCTTCCTAGGACAGAAAGTGAAGAAAGATATCACATTTAGCTGAAAAATCACCGGGCACCAGGACCAGCAAGTGGGCATAGAGCAACCAGGGGCTGCATTTGGACATGTTTCAGTGCTGAAATGGCTGATTTACACTCAGAGCACAAAAGCACTTTCAGTCAAAATATCACCTTTTGATGGTGGCAACACAGGAGTGGAAGGAAGACTGAAATCTTATCTTCAGGGTGTCCCTTCCATGTTATAAACTACTCGATATTTTTCCATTTTGACCGAAAATTCAGCTTCTAGGTGGAAAAAAAATGAGGAAATAAAAACAGGCAACTCTTTTTCCGGTGATTTGCTGCAGAATAACACGAGGTGAGCTCCAGTCTGAGTTGGTGTCTGAATCTGTTACCAGTGAGAGATAAATGAGGCCTCAGGGCAACGTGCTAAATCACAGGGGTGCCTGCTACCACCTCGCAGTTACGCATTTCTGCTTCTCCCTCTCTCCACTGGGTTTACCTAGGAGGCCCAAAAACACTTTTACAGGAGCACGGGGTCTTTGCTGTGCTGGAAATGCCTTTCTTTTCCTCCCTCCCTCTGTTTTAGGAGAGTGGCAATGCTATGAAAAGACCGGATCTTGTTTTACTTTATTGCCATTAGGGGCAAAGGAAAAAAAGAGAGAGACCCATAAACACAAAAATGCCAGGAAACAAGGAGACTGCATGCTTGAACGCCCAGCCCTGGCTGCCTTCTTCCATGAGTAACAGCCCAAATGTTGACAGAGGTCATGTGTGGACATCCACCACAATGCAGAAAGAGGAGGTGCAAAAAGATTCACTTTATACCAACAGAGCCTTTTGTTTCCTGTGGCAAAGCATCGCTCTGCACCTTGCGTGAAGCACAAACCTTTTTATTCCCATTTCTCCCCCAGATTGATCCCTTCTGTTCCACTTTTCTTCTCCACAGCAGTAAGTGCTACAGAAATGTTTCCAAGTGATTCACTGCAGAAAATATTTGGGGAAACCAAACCAAACATTTGCAGCTGTGTGGCACAGACCCACTCGGAACCCATGGCAAGCAACAAGATTTATCTATAAAACCTGAATGCAGGCCAGACTGGTTGATGTTTCACTAAGTTCAGTTATCGGGGGCTAATTCAGTGCTGTCTGTGACAATGGATCTCAGCACAGCACCTGGAAATCTCCAATGCTTCCACTGCAGAGCTCGGTGCATTCCACTGCAGCCCAACCTTCCCAGCTGGCCTCACTGCCCTGATCTGCAGCAGCAGCCCCAGGTAGGCATCCTGCAGTAACTGCTCTGCACCACGAGATCTGCATCCCCCAGGAAGGCAGTTACTCTGCTTTACGTGCAGCTCATGTTTTGATATGGCTCCTTTAAGTCACCTCTCTCGATGAGCTCAAATCTCAGCACCAACCTGCAGTTTCAGCCAGTCTGCCTGGGCTACGATTCAGTACCACCATCGTTACATTGCAGATCCTTTTTGCTCCTTTCTGTCCCCAGTTTCAGAGAGCTCTGTGGCTATGGATGTGGAAACCAAGCAAGGTGGGAGGAGCAATGCATAAAGCACCACATGCTCTACCCCATTCCTTGCACGCATCCCCAAGGCACAGCACCAAACCAACAAAGTTTTCCATCCAAGCCCTCCACAATTTCTATAGGGCGCTGTGTTTGCCCTATAGAAATCCAGGACTATTGATGAACTGCATGGGGCAGGGGAGAAAGACTTCAGCTACACAGTCAGGTCATGAGAGCAAAAACCACATATTTCAATAGAATAATGAAAGGGGCCAGGTGCTTAATCTCACTATTTGTGGAGAGTTTCAACTCGTGTGCTTACACATCACTTATTTTTCACTATAAAAACCTGAACAGGAACAACTAAGTGCAAAAAAAACAAATGAAAACAAAAATAAAGCAAAACAAAGAAGATCCATCACACCACTGCAGTCCAAAACAAGTTTCCACACACAGACAAAAAAGTTTTTGTCCTTTCATATTCCACATTACAGATTTATACGTTAAAGCAGCAGCACTCAGATCCGAAACGACTCAAGGCCATCAAGGTGAGACTTCTGATTCGGGCTCATACACGAGGATGTCATTGAAAAACGTTCAGCAGCCCAAGGAAATGGTGGTATATATGGCAGTCTGTGTGACCAAAGGGATTATCCCAGAATGGCTCACCTGATTAGTTATACAAATGCCTTTTATTTTTTTCCTTAATCCAAGACCGTGCAGAATGCCAAACGGGAGAATGGAGCGGGCTGCGTGCTGGAATGTCTGAAGGCTACAGACTTGGGATTTATATTCCATGTTGAATTCATTGTTCTCTCTCCTACCCCCGCTGCCCTCTAAAAAATGCTGCAGCCATGACAGAAATAAATTAGCCGGAGGTACAGGTCACACCTTCAAGGGCAGTAAGCATTCTGGGTAAAATCAATAGAGAAGATGGGAGTCTCTAGCAACCGAAGCAGAAAGAATGACGCATTGATAGCTTTACATATACTCAAACAAAGGCACTTTGGAGCAGCCCTCGTCCCTGCTGCCTTGTGAACACAAAGCTCGTTTTTCCGACCACCTGAACCCCAACAGCAACACAGAGGCGATTCAGAAATTGTTTCTTTGGGCAATTTGCATATCGATGCAGAAAATTCTGCTCGTTTGCAGCTCCACCCAGGGAGGAGCTCCAGGCGATGAATTCCAACCCGAGCTGCAGCTCCCACAAACTTCTACAGAGCTCCCAATGCACACGGAGCTTCGGCTGAAATGGTGCAGCTCTCTGCAGCCCCCCGAGTGGCAGAAGTTGAAGCAGCAGCCGAAAACTCCCACAGAATTCAGTGAACACAGAAACAAATCCAGAGGGCACCACCAGGCAGCGCCGCTCTGTCTTCTGTTCATTATTTCCCCCGCTGGTTTTAAAGCAGTGGAGAATTTAGTCAGAATCACCTACATTCATTCAGCACCTTAAAGGCAGGCTGTGGTATTTATGAGTCACAGATCCCCTGAAATAAGGCGATATCAGGCTCACAAGGATAAGGGCTATATGAAGATTCATGCAGAAGTGGTTTTTACTAACAGCTGAGTTAGGTAGGAGCTCTCAGTGAGACACACGACCTTGGCAGACACTTCATAGATCCCATGGGGTTCCTACCTGCATTTCCAGGCTCCTAAGAGCTTTAAACCTGATCTAAGCTTCCACAGTGCTGCTAAAAACAGGACTTAGACTCCGCAGTCCCTCGGGAGCTGGTGAAATTACTACCCAGGAGATCCATCCCTGGGCAGAGCCACAGCCTCTCCTCCTGTTCTACGCCTCCCAGACTTCCCCAGAGACAGCTCTGGCCCAAATACAGCAGAATCCAAACCCAAACGAGCACTGATTTTGTGCAGAGCCAGCAAGGGAATGCCAAACAGCACAACTTCTCCCTACCCTCCTCGTTTGTTTGTTCTTTTGAAAACCCACACAACGTTAGCACGTGCATTGCTCTTTGATCATTAAGACACCCATTTCTGCCTACGTTGAAACACAGTGCAATTTGGAACTATATTGGTACTTACATTTACAGAGCCTGAGAACAACATCGTAAATGGAACTCTTTTCATTTCCAGTGCTACCTGTAACAATAAATGAGGGGATTCATCATTAATGCCAGTGCTGCATTAAACGATTATCTTTTGCATGCAGTCACTGCCCCATCTTATGTCTCCAGCACGTAGCAATGATGTGGCAATACCTGCAGATATCTCTGAGTTCTGGGGAAATAAATAAAAACAAAATCAATGCCTGAGGAAAAGCATGCCTCAGAAATCAGCTGTGCTTTGCTGCTTTTGCTCTGAAGGCCTTTGCATCTTTGGATGGTTCCTCAAACCCACCAGTGCAGACAGCGAAGAGATTGCTTAGTTTTGGTCTACAGAGAGGAGAAGGCACAATTTCAGCTCTTAATTCAGGTGCTCTGGGAACACCCCCAGCACAGCCCTGCTGCTGAACCACAGGAAAGAGGTGACTGATGGGGCAGGGAGGAGCTGGGGAAACTCCACTGGTGAAAAGGCTAAAAGCCTTTGTAAAGAAGACCCAACAGCCCTCCTTGGGAAGTGTGACCTGTAGGTGGGCAGCCTCCACATGGAGTTACAGGTGAGGAAATCAGTGCTGTTATCAACTTGCCACGATGGCTCCAGCTGGAGTGCATGGCTCTCCCTGCAGCCACAGCTGTGGGCTGTTTTGGGGACAAAGAAAGCGGGGAAGGAAAGGCACATTCAGCATCTTCCCAGGAATGACCAAGATCAGCTCCTCCAAACAAACATCAGATACAATGGCCTACAATGACTTGCCCTGCTGTTCTGCTGTGGTTAAACTATTGCTGCGGTACCTGCTTTTATGTTAGACCTTAAAAAAAAAAAAAAAAAAAAAAAACAGCATTATTTGCACACACATTCTGAAATGCAGCACAAACTCTGTGCTTTGAATAAAGCAATGCAATGCATCTAATGCAGCTTGTGCCAAAACAAATCATTCCCCGTTTGTTTTACACTTCAGCGTGTTCAGCGATAAGTGAAGTCCTGCCCAGCTTTGGAGAACATTCCAATAATCCCACAAGCACATTATCTGAAGAGATCACATTTAACATCTGCAGGTCAAGAATGACCCAGCAGAGATACACCCATTGGCGCCTGCTTTCCTCCAGCAGAGCTGGACACCAGCTGACTTGCTTCGCTGATTGCCTTATCCAGGGTGTTTCAGATGGATCATGACATCCTGATACTCACAATGCTCCAAGCAACCCCCCGTCTTCAAAGAAGGGCATCTCTGTGTCAGCACTGAAACAAGGAAGCTGCCACAAATAACTGCTCCCAAAACCTAAGGCTGCTGCTCTGCACATCCCAGGGCTGACGCAGACTCCCAGCAGAGGTAACTGCTGTGACCCACTGCTCAGAGCTGCAGGGCACATCCCATGCCCACACCTCCTCTTTCTCTTGTCAGATTTCACCTCTGCCTATCGACTGTGCCTGGTTTCAGAGGACATGCCTTCATGGCAAAGAAATGCTTACTCTGGACGCAATGAAACCTTGGGAACACCTGGGCCTTTCCAAGAAGTACACAGACCCCTTCTCTTTGTTTAAAATACACGGGGATTTAAATTCAATCAGTGAGCAGGTGTGGATTTGCTTTGGGAATACCTGGAAAGATGATGGATGAAAACAGAGATGGGGGTGGATCTGGCTGGTACCCATTCAGCAGATGTTACAGTAATGGATCACAGATAGGGGTGTTAAGATATGGGCTCCGTGTCCAAAGAGCTGCTTTCCACTTGGAACATCCGCACGCCAATGAATTGCAAAATCTTAACCTTGGGAGGGGAAACGAAATAATTTAAAAACATTTCCTGTCCCTAATTATGTTTTGCATGTGAAGTGGATCCATACAGAACTGCTGGATTTGGACACCTGAAAGCAAACAATAGTGTGGGGCAGGCCGTGCAGCTTGCATCTGGATAACGGTGCTATTTTGCCTTCCTGCAGTGACTAAAAGGATTTAAGCTGAAATCTGTGGACTTGAGAGGTCCCAAAGTTCATTTCTGAACCCAAATCTGGATGTGCATTTTTGAAGCTTGGCCTTATCACTTCCCTGCAACGCAAGGTATTTTTTCTGCCAGAAAATACTCAAAGAGCCTCACAGGAATCCCTCGTGGTCACCCGCCCCAGTGCACAGCTAAGCAAATGGAGGGACTGCATGCAAAGAAGGCAGAGAGCGTGCTGTGGTCACACAGGGCCCGTGTCCATCTGCAGCACAACCCTTGCTGCCTCCATAATCCCCTGCAGGTTGCTAAATCAAAGAAGTGAAATAAGGCAAAGCAATTTTCCCAGCCTCCTCTCATCAAAAAAACTTCCTAGGATCTCAAGGGGATAAGAGTAAGGCAAGATCAGAGAGCTTCAGCTTTGGTCATTTGCAGATTCCTTCTGCTTGGCCTAGCTGCTCCCCGTCCCTCCGTGTGCACGCAGCAGGTAATCCTGGTGGGAACCAACCCGAAGCACAGAGAACCCAGCACTCCTCCTTGTTCTCTACCCTCACCCTCTGCAAAGAAGAGATGCTGAGGGGTTTTTTCCCATGCTGCGAGTGGCGAGCAGCAGCACAGCCCATTATTGCACTCTGCTCATGGATTGTGCACTTCCCGCCCCATAACCAGGACTGGACCATCGTGACTGACCTGTTACCCTTTCTCCTCCTGAGATCCTTTGCAAAGACAATCGATTCCCACCTTAAAATAACCAAACGGTAAGCACAAGGATTTTGCATTTGCATATCTAGTTATTTAATTATCTCGAGTCTCTAAAATCCATGTGATTTGAATGTTGAAGGCTGCATACACTTTTCACACTTAGAAAACAAAATGCTCACTTTTAATAAGCAATACGACCGTTCTAAAGAACACTGGAGGACAAAATCTAACCAAATGTTTCTGACCTATTGCAAGCAATCATTAACTACAGACAGTTTCTAATTATTTGAGTCCATTTCACTTCTTACTCTGTGGTCATTTTGTTCCTTGGCCGTGTGGCCTATGCTCAGAAAAATCTCCATTAGGCAGCACAGAGTTGCAGAAGAAAAATGACCCTTTTTCCACTTTCTAAGGTTGTTTCAAGACCTCTAAGCACATCTCCAAAACAAAACAAAAAACAAATAGAAAGCACTTAAAAATGTAAAAGCACAACAGTCTGCTACATTGAAACATGTTGTTATCAAATCAAATTGCTTTCTCTCACCCCTCTGCTAGCAGTTTTGCAATTCGTTTTCCATAAAAAGCTGTGAACGTATTAAAAGGCATAACATCTCTGCTGAGACTGGGAGCGATCACATGAAGCAGCCACAAGATTTGCTTGATGACATACAGAGTTCATTATTCACGAACGAGTCTCATTTTCAGCCTTAAAGGAGAGGGTGGGGAGAGCAGGGGGAGCAGCCTTTTACAGCACACACACTTGAAGGAAAGGATTGCATTTATAGGAACCACTGAAAAGAATTAAGAGCAGGGAAAGTAAAAGAAAACACACCCCTGTGCTACCAGTTTGCAAGAGCCAAGCTTGGGTCCCCAAAACACGCTCACACATTTTTCACTTCAAACAAATTTACCTTCTCAGAGCGGCTGAGCAATCAGAAAGCTGCTCAACTTTCAGAAAGTTCAGCTCTGCTGCAGATGGGAAGGGACAGAGAGCAGAAAGCACAGCGTCAGCCAAAGCCACGAGCTGCAAAAGTTCCTCTGCACCCCCCCACCGACCTACCAGCCTTCGTCTCACAGGTAGCAAAGTTTGTCCTCCTCCTCCACTGCCACAGCCGCACACGCACGCAGGCTGAGTGCACTGAGCATCAAAAGAATATTGTTTCCAATCTTCCCATGACCAAGGAGAGCGAGAAAAATGCGGTCTGGCCAGGTACTGCTTCTTCGTGAAAAGTAAATCCGGCATTCTGGAATGAGTTCAAACACAGGGCTTGACAGGCAAGGGAGAAAAGCTTTTTCACTGAGCATGCTTAGTCCTGCACTGCCTGCACACTTAATGAACATTACTTCCTTCCCAGTGGTTACTCCTAGTAGAAATCCACACCCCCTACTCTTTCAGAAGTCAGGAATGCAGCTGAAACCAAAGTCCAGAAAACAAGCCCGACACCCAGACATGGCCCCACAGATCAATAAACCCAGGTTGTGACCCGCAGGTCAGTTTGTCAAACAGGACATCGGGCTGAGTTTTTTCTACACTTGGTATAGTTTGCTTTATGCTTCAGCTAATGCTGCTCGCTCCCCAGAGAAAATAAAACTGCACCGGCTTTTAAAGGATGATTAAATGCTTCAATAACAGCTGGGAATTCTCTTTAAATCTCGTCTTCCCAAACCTGCTTTAAAATGAGGAATGAGCACTGCGTAAAAAAGTTCTTCCGATTCTGAGATTGCTGAACAAAAGTTGTTGGGATTTGTCCTAGGTGAGGAGCATCTGCTGAGCAAAAATACAGACCCTTCCCTTTAGTGAGAGCCCCATCCCGTTCCCTTTGCAATCACTCGCAGTTTTGTCATTACCTTCAGTGGGAATCACACCACGGTTTTAGATTTCAAATGCTTTCAGGCAAGAGCTGTGTCTACTTCAGTGACCTGTACAGGACAGACTGGTTCTGGCACTTCAATTTGCAATTTACAATATTGCTGTGCCTGAGTGTTTGAACACCGTGCAGCAGAAGTCTCCCTCCTTCCAAAGCCCGCAAGAGTGGCTGAAGAAAAGCAATTCTACAAAATCGCATGTGTTATTTTTAAAGCTTTTCATTATATTTCAAGCTTTTCAGCTGCTTGCCAATTCTTTTTCCGTCAGGTTACACTTAGCTCTCACATCTCAATTCTCACCCACAATAGGACCAGGGGATTTTTTGTAATGAAGGCTATGCTGGCCCAGAGTGCCGTGTCATAAAAACACCAGGCGGCAAACGATGAGTTACAATGGAATAACAAGGGCTGTGGTATTGTGAGGTAAGGAGCACTAATCAAAATCTAAGCTGTCATCATTTCCAAGGCCTCTTAGATAACGACTATCACACCACACTTTAAAATAGGTTACAATTTGATTGTGACCTCTGCATCTGAGCAGCTGCAGACCTCACGTGGCTCCGGGGCTGGGTTTGAAGGGGGACAGACCACGGCAAAAATCAAGTCCCTGGATTCCAAACATCCCATTTAGACCCCATTTAGATTGCAAATGGTAGTAGTGCACATTGGGACTGAACTCACATGGGTACGTTCAGAACCACTCTGTCTGTTGGGCAACCAAGTTTGAAGAAAGTAACAATAAAAAGAAGTGCCCACACAGATCTGCTCTTCCTCATTTCCTTCAGGATCACACAAGGAAAAGTCCCCAAACTGCACAACAAAAACAACCATGCTGTATTTCTAATGTGCTTAACTTGAGGTTTGGGAAATCCCCAGAGAAAGAAAGTTTCCTGTCGATGTGCAGAAGCAGCTGCATAAGGCTGATCAACTCCCAGCACAACAAGCAAAAGGCTTTTCCCTTTGGTACACCTCCATCTTGCCTCCCGAAGCTTTCCTTTGGTCAGGGAAGTCCCTAACAGCACAAAACAAGCTGTCAGCCCAACTGGATTTTTCCCCCTGGACCATCTCTCGGCCACTTTTCATGGCCTTGTCATTCAGCTGCACAAGAGAATGAAATCTGTTGGATTCATAAAGCCTGAGGCATCAAAAGCAGGCAGGCAGTGCACCTTACTCACGTCCAAAATGATCCTAAAGCTCAGAGGTGATGAACCCAGGGCTTAAAAACAGGCTCACTCAGCAAACAGTTGTAGTGCTCTGAGCCATCCTTGTCTTCACCCGTTGCTCACAGCCTCACTCCTGGGTGAACGGAGTGCCTGTATGCTCCAGCCTGGAGCCCAAGAGCTTACACTGAGCTCCAGCTGGGAGCAGGAGCCAAACCAAAGCACAGAGCACTAATGCACCTTAGGAGCACACCATCATGGCACGACCTTATGATGGCAACTTTGTCAGAGCGCTGGTAACCTGCTAGAGAGACACGGTGACACAAATCCCACAGCTGCCCACAACCAGACCCTCCCTGCTGTGCTCCTGATAGAACAGCAGCATGAAATGCTCCAAGCTGCAACCACGCACTGCCACTGAAGAGCTCTGCCATTCCCACCGAGCTCCTCGAGGCTGCTGTATGCTCAGGATCCACCTTCCTGTGCCACAGCACTGCAGGCCTGCAAGCTGAAGGCACGCTGCAAATCTGCCGTCTGTGAGTCACAGCACAGGGAGCAGACTGCTGATTCCCTTCATGCCTAATTAGCCATAAGAGGTTGGCACGACCATTTCTTTAGCACAGCGTTGGCCCAGCGCTCAGACGAATCCCGTGTCCAAAAGGAAAGTGCTCTACCTCCAGTTTTCTTCTGGAAAGAAAAATCATGTAGGGGCATTCGAGTCCACAGAGCTCTCCTGTTAATCATTTGAAGACTGTTGGAGCACTGTATGCCAGTGGTACAATGTCTGTCAGTGAAGACAAGCCTAGCTATGCACATTCTGTCCTGCCACAGGACTGAGTCTGGTTTCTCTGAGGGAAACTGGGGCCAGCTCTACCTGCCTTTGAGCTGGGACTGCAGGATGACAGACCAAAGTGAATTTCAGCAGGAATGAGGCATTTAAACTCCTTCTAGACTCTGCAATTAGGGCTGCTGAATAGCAAAGATTTGGGCAGGGTTGAAAAGGAGCAGAGAAAGAAGACTTGTGCTGTGCCTAGAAGCCAACAAGTGACCCCAAGATGGATCATCAGCAACGGGAGAACTGCATCCTTCAGGCATCTGTGAGTCAGGACAAGGACTGGGAAAAGCCTAGATAAGTGAAAAGCCTACAGGGAGCTGCACAAGCTTTGGACTGCTTGATTTCTGGGATGACGCCTACATATCCTAACCAGAAAGCTGTGCCCTAAGGCGCAGACCTGAAACAGACTTTGGCATGGCATCAGTCCTTTCCAGGATGAACGACAGAGCCCACCAACACACATTCACCAAGATGGGGAGCTATTGTTGCCACTCTTAATGAGAGCCAAATGGCTGCCCCTCCCAGAGCTCACAACTCCAGCTGGGGCAGCTTTGCTTCCCTTTTCCCCCTAGGATGCATAAAATACATTTTTGCTCTCCTTCCTGACACCAGAAAAGCCTGGATCGCTTCCCACTGTACTGTGAGAGCTTGAAACTTGGCCATGCTATTTACAGCATCGTCTTTGCCCGGAGGAATTGGAGCAGCATCATGCTTTTTCCACCATATGCAAGCAGCAGGCATGGCTGCATGTGCCAGCACCACAACATGGCGAGCTCAGCACTACCTGTCGGTGCTTCCCCATGGCCACTCCAAGCACTACCAAGAGAGAAGAACAGGACTTCCCAAGGGACACTGCTGGCTCTCATCTTCCTTGCTCCTGGTGCTCAGATGCATCCATCCTTCAGTTGTCGGTGGGAAAGGATAAACTAAAGAAAGACTGTAAAGGGTGGGGCTCTATTTCTGGTCCTCTCAACAGTCAAGTTGGCTTTTGGCCATAGAGAAGCTTTTCAGAAGGAGTTACGTGACTCCGAAGCCTCTGTTCCATTGATTTTCAGCAGGAATCGGGCTGGAACTGCAGCAGCCCTGGGTCTGAGCCCTACGTGGGCTGTGCATGCAGTGACCCACAGTCAGAGCATTTCCACCAAAGGAACGTGGCACCTCAGCTCCGCCAGCAGCAGTTCCCCACCACCATGGGGACACCAATGGCCCCAGGAGAGCTGCTTCTAGGACAGCCTGCCCCTGGACAGCAGAGCAAAGGGTGCTGCAGGAGGAGCCTCAGGGCTGCTGCCAGCAGGGAGTACACAGCCTCAAAGGGATGGAGCTGCAACACTGTAGGTTTGCCCCTCTCTCCTCTTTCATCAAACCCAAGAAGCTGAGCTCAGAGGCAAGAAACTGAGTGAAACTCTATGATCACGGACAAAAATTTGACCAAACTGTCTATCTTTCAACCTTAGGATCTGTTTTAGAGGCATTAATTTATTCATTTATTGATAAAATATTAAATATGAGTAGCTGGCAGGTTCCCCAGAATGCAGCAGGTAATCTAAATGTACTAGAAATAAAAGCACGAGAAGCTTTAACTTTAAAGGCCTTGCTTTGCTAGGACAGAATGACAGAGCAGATATTGAAAGTACAGCAGTTCCCAGATCTGCTCTGGTCTTCCACGTAACTTTGGGCAAATCATGTCTCTGATTTATAGTACCCAAAAGGAACTGGATGTAATTATTACAAAGATCACCACGATCAATCTGAGACAGCACTGGCAAAAGGCTACAAATAATGCAGGAAAGATCAAGCCACAGCCACAATCTTAGCAGAGATTCAAACTCCACTTTAAACAAGGCAAGCCTCACACCGCTCCCCTGTTGCACTCTGAAATGAGCTGACTGCAGGACATTGTGCAGCAAAACCACTTTCCACCCAATGTTGCAGAGCGTGGGGAGGGCAGTGGTACCTTCAGCAGAGCAGAGCACTGCCTGCACCATGGAGCTCAGCAGTGCAATGCTGTGAGGTCAAAGTGACCAGTGCTGATCCGCTCATATCTCACGGCAATTCAGAGCTGTTGTTCATGTATTTTTTAGATTTCTCACCAAAAATGTGGGCTGTTTGTTTCCTCCTGACCTTTTTTTTTTTTTTTTTTTAAGTCTATTGCATGAATTAGCTTAGCAGAGTCTTCTTGCAGGATAATAAATAACAGCAAGTATTTCCTATGACAACCTAAGGTTTCTATTCCAGGCACAATAAATTTCATTGAGGGAGGAGGAAAGACAAACTGCATGAGCAACAGCATTGAGCTCAGGGAACTTCATTTTTCCCCTCTCACAGGAGAGTTGTTTCAAGGCTAAATGTTTTCTGTGCGAGGTATATATGATAAATATTTGCA